AGGGATCCACTGAACACAGAGGTCATATGGGGGGTTTCAGCACCCCCCTTTCTCTGTATAGGCAAAATAATTGTACAAGTAAATAGTGAACATGTCATAATTACCTGTTCTGTGCAATGGTTTTGCACAGAGCAGCCCCAGACCTCTTTTCGGGACCGTCACTACTGCTCCAGATTCCTCCTCCCTTCTGAATGTCCCAATAGCAAGCCACTTGGTACAGAGGCACTTGTATGGGCCCGTTCCCAAGCCAGGCTGTCTGCATCTATTGACACAGCACAGCTCAGACCCACCCCTTCCTCAAGGGATTGATTAACAGCAGCCTGCCGCAGACCCTCTTGTTCACAGCAGTGGCTAGAGATCAGGTTCAGCTAAATATTTAAGTGGGGGCTAGGGAGAGCTGACATTGAATTTTTTTTTACTCTAATGCAGAGAACGCATTAAAGTGGAGCTCCACCAAAAAAGGGGACGTTACATAGTTAGTCTCGCTGAAAAAAGACAAAAGTCCATCCAGTTCAACCACAAAAAATAAAAAAGTTATAATCCTATACCCACAGTTGATCCAGAGGAAAGCAAAATAAACCCCAGCAAAGCATGATCCAATTTGTTCCTGCAGGGGAAAAAAATTCCTTCCTGATCCCCCGAGAGGCAATCGGATATTCCCTGGATCAACTTTACCTATAAATGTTAGTATCCAGTTATATTCTGTGTATCTAAGAAAGAATCTTTTTTGAAGCAATCCACTGAGCTGGCCAGAACCAACTCTCGAGGGAGTCTATTCCACATTTTCACAGCTCTCACTGTGAAGAAACCTTTCCGTGTTTGAAGATTAAATCTCTTTTCCTCCAGACATAAAGCGTGCCCCCTTGTCCTCTGTGATGACCTCAGGGTGAATAGCTCTACACCGAGTTCACTATATGAACCACTGATGTATTTATACATGTTGATCATATCCCCCCTTAATTTCCTTCTCAAGAGAGAATAAATTCAGTTCCTCTAATCTTTCCTCATAGTGGAGCTCCTCCATGCCTCATATCAGTTTAGTTGCCCTTCTGTAAGGGAATTCCCATGAGACGGCTGGTGAATAAACGTGCGCATGTGCACAGAAAGGCACGCACACACACGGAGAAGATTGGCACCAGACGGACTATTTAAAAGGTGCCTCTGCCTGTGCAGAGTGCTGACTGGTCTTCAGCTGTTCCCCGTTTCCTGCTCATTCCTGTGTGATTTCCTTGTTGCTGACCCAGGTTGTTCCTGACCGACTGATTACTCACCTGCTTGATACTTGTTCCTGACTTTGGCTCTGCTCCTGACTTTGGCTTGCTTATGATTTGGTACCCTCGCTGTCCGCCCATTGATGACCCCAGCTATTCCTATGACATCGCTCCTGTCTCCCATCACAGCTTCCTGCCTTGCTCTGGTGCACACCTGGCGATCTACCATACCAGCTCTGCATATTCCTACTGTGCCTCAATCGGAGGTTCATCAGTCTTCCAAAGTCTCCAACTGCAAGAGCTGTAAAACAACATCTGCTGGCGCTCTTGTCCCCCTGGTCCCTAGACACCCTCTGTTCCACTTCCAGTGGGGTCAGGGCTAGTGACAAAAGTAAGGCCGACCTCGTCATTTCAGTCTCCAATCAAGTACGTGACACCTTCTCTGTACTTTCTCCAGTTCTCCAATGTTCTTTTTGTGAATTGGTGCCCAAAACTAAACTGCATATTCCAGATGAGGTAATACTAATGATTTGTACAGGGGTAATCTGATATCTCTCTCTGGAGTCTATATCTCTTTCAATACGAGAGGATTTTGCTCGCTTTAGAAACCGCAGCTTGGCATTGCATGCCATTATTAGCCTCCCTAGCAGTCTGATTATGTCAATATTTCTGTGCTCAAAGCAGTATATTTTTTTGCATGGAAATATGTCTTTTTTTATTGTAGGCGTGTAATTTTTAGGAATAACTCACTGAAATCTGTCCGAACAAGAGTCTAGTAAACATCCCGGGTATGATAAAATTTGAAACAGGAAATCATAAATTATAATAAATAATCATAAAAATAATAATAAATTCAATTAAATAATACAATCAAACCAAAAACACTTAAAATTTGAACTAGAACGCCAAGTTCGCACATCACTGAGCTTAGTCGCAAAATCGTTTTCAGTGTCTGATGATGAATTTCCCCACAAATCATCACTCAATTCTGCAAGTGGTTCTAATTTACTAACGCTGTTTTCTAGCTGGTCTAAAACCACTTTTGACATAAAGGGACAGTTTTTGGACGCCATGGACTTTTATCAGTTTCAAGGCAGAAAGAACAGTAAAAATGCAGGCAGGGCACATGACAAAGCAGTAGGGACAAAATGTATGTGAAATGCTTTGATACAGTAATGTTTTTACTATGTGATTTTAGTGTATTTAGTGAATATCACTTAACATTTTTAAAATTCTATGCCGATTCCGGACTCCCGCACGTCCCAACGCTTGCAGGGATCGGAACCCGGAAGACGGATGAGGCATCGGCTGGAGAAGATGGCCGGGGACACTGCAGGGGGGACATCGCGTAGTAGCACAGGACAAGGTAATTGAAACAGGGAATCCCAGAGCAACGCTGCAGGGTAATCCCGAGTGTAGCTCAGGATTACCGCTTTTGGTACTGAAAGTTAACCCAGAGCTACACTCCGGAATACCGCCAGGGAGGTTAAGCTTGTGATCTACCAGAACTCCCAGATCCTTCTCCACCATTGATTTCTCCCAGTTGTACTCCCCCTAGTATGTATGATGCATGCATATTCTTAGCCCCCAAGTGCATAACCTTACATTTATCAACATTAAACCTCATTTGCCACATAGTTGCCCAATTAAACAGTGCATTGAGGTCGGCTTGTAAGTTGAAGACATCCTATAAGGATGTTATTCCACTGCACAGCTTGGTGTCATCTGCAAAGGCTGAAATGGGATTTGTAATCCCAGACCCTATATAGTGTATAACTATATTAAAAAGTAAGGGTCCCAACACTGAACCTTGGGGTACACCACTGACAACCCTAGACCATTCAGAGTATGAATCATTAACCACTACTCTTTGAATACAATTTTGTAGCCAGTTTTCTGTCCATTTACATACAGATTTTTCCAAGCCCGTAGACTTTACCTTACACATTAGCCATGTGTGGGGAACTGTGTCAAACGCTTTTGCAAAATCCAAGTATACCACGTCCACCACCACCCCTCTGTCCAAGGTTTTGCTCACCCCCTCATAAAAAGAAATCAGATTTGACAACTTCTGTCTTTTATGAATCATGCTGTCTGTTGCTTAAAATATTTTTTCCAGCAAGAACTCATCTATGTGGTCTTTTATTAAACTCTCCAGTATCTTCCCAACTATAGAAGTTAAACTAACAGGTCTGTAATTTACTTGGTAAAGATTTTGACCCCTTTTTAAATATAGGCACCACATTGGCCTTACGCCAATCCAGTGGTACTATGCCAGTCATTAACTACCTGCCGACCGCAGAGAGCCGAATGACGGCTGCACTGCGGCCGGCCAGTTCTGGGTGGACATCATATGACGTCCTCCCAGAACGCGCTCTCCTGCGTGCCCCCGGCGATCTCCGTGATCGCTGTGTCCTACGGACACAGCTGATCACGTGACGCGGTAAAAGGCCAATCACAGCGGCCTTTTACCACGTGATCAGCCGTGTCCAATGACACGCTGATCACTGGCAAATGCAATTGCCGGTTCTCGGCTGCACGTTCCTCACGCTGTCAGACAGGTAAGTGTCTGTATTTTATTTTAAAAGTCAGCAGCTACAAAAACTGTAGCTGCTGACTTTTAAAATACAGACACTTACTTTTATTTTTTTTTCTTCCAGGTGGAACTCTGCTTTAAGGTAAAAAAAACAAAAAAAAAAAAAAACAACTTTGTTCCTTACTACTGTTACAGGGTGGCAGGGGTGCACAAAATCATGTACATATATACGTGGTTTTGCATTTCCGGATTTTGCATTTCATGGCTGTGGCTGTCTATCATTGGGTCCTGGCCAGAAATTACTGAGCATCTCCGTCGAGGAGGAAGACTGTTTTGTTTACTAACAGTCTTCCTCCCTATTGGTTCAGGCACACTACTCTGGATGGCTGTGCACAGCCATCCAGAGCAGTATGCTTACAGTGAAGCACACGCCCCCTAGTAAAACACTCTACACATAGTTAACCCTTTGATCGCCCCTCACATTAACCCCTTCCTGCCCATTAGTACAGCATCATTTTTTTTTAGCACTAATTACTGTATTGGTATCACTGAGGATGTCAGTGACACCAAGTCAGTTCCCCCCCAGTGTCAGAATATCTGCTGCCATCCTGCTATAAGTCGCTAATCGCCACCATTACTAGTAGGAATTAAAAAAAAAAATCCCATTATCTATACCATTTGTAAACATAACTTTCATGTAAACCAATTAATTTACACTTACTGGATTTTTTTTTTTTAGAAAAGACATGTCGCAGAATACATTTTGGCCTAAAGTTATGACAAAATTAGATTTTTTTAAAAAATTTTTTTACTGCACGTTTAATAGCAAAAAGTCAAAAATACTGTTTTTTTTTTCTCAAAATTGTCAGGTTTTTTTTATATAGCACAAGAAATTAAAAAACCGCACAGGCGATCTAACACCACCGAAAGAAAGCTCAATTTGTGGGGACGAAAAAAAAAGACGTACATTTCAATTGGGTGCATTGTTGCATGACCGCGCAATTGTCAGTTAAAGTAAAGCAGCACCATAATGCAAAAAATGGCCTGGTCAGAAAGGGGGGTAAATCCTCTGGAGGGCAAGTGGTTAAAGCAGGAAAGATATATATTTATGGGTTACCAAGTTCAGTTTCCCTTTCCCTTCAAGGTTCTACAGTATGGTGACTGTGTGCACATGTATTCTAATGATAGAACCCGATACTAATAGTAAATCTGCCTGCAGCCCCGTGTAACCAGCCTCCTCACAACTTCCTTACCTTGTGCAAGCCGCCATGCCACACTCCTCCCACCAGCCACAAGTGCTCGCCTCAACCAATACCCCGCCTCTGAAGCTTTCTAACCCCGCCTATTTCCCCGCATCACCACCAATAACAAACACACCTCACTCTCCCCTCCCACGTGCTCTCCGTTTCACGGACCACGTGAGTCTGGTCCCAGTAAGCGTCAGAAACAGGGCTGTCGAAGTTTGGTGACGTCAAATCTAGGCGCCGGAAAAGTGTGGTTCGGTTGCATTGTAGAGTGCCCGTGGTTTCTTTCATTTGTTTATCCACGGGTGTATTGGGAGGTAGACGGGAAAATGATCGAACAGAGCAAGAGGAAAGGGATGGAGCTGGTCACTGTGACTGCTAAAAAGCCGAGGAATGAGCTGGTGGCATCGGTGAGTGATGGAATGGGGAGGATAGGGTGGCCACCTCATCCCTTTAAAACCGAACACATTACACAGGTTCTGGGGCTGATTAAGGTGCTAATTACACTCACCTAGTGCCGTATCTGCAATGAATCCGCCTCAGAGGCTGTGTAATTCATGTGATCAGTTTTAAAGGGATGAGGTGAATGGGGTGCTCTCTATACATAGACTGTGCAGGGTTGGCGAGCAGGGCTTGTTCACTCTGGACCATTAAAGGACAACTAGCGGCAAGGCTTTTTTTTCTACCTTGAATACAGTAAGAAAGGGTTCTAAGGGCTTGTTCACACTTGACCTCTTCCTGAATGCCCCTGTAGTGTTAGGCATTTTACAAGTGTTAAAACCGCTCCCCAAACACCCTATGTGCGGTTTTGAAGCGTTTTACAAGCGTTAAGACTGCACCACAAACGCTTACAATGAACTTAATGGTATTCACGCCCCACAAAACCTGCTGCGTCACAGTAGACTTGAATGGGAAGCGTTGAAAGGCTTCAACTCCTCCTGACTCAACATGAGGCGTCAATTTTCACGCAGTGCAATGCTAATGTAACAGTGTGAACAGCACTGTGTGCTGCCATGTGTATTATTTTCATAGGTGTTTGAGGAGTGTTAAAAACGTCCTTCAAACGCTTGCTTTCAACGCTAGTGTGAACTGAGCCTAACCCTCATGGTTGTTGTTTTTTTTTTATGCTATCTGTGTGCCCGTTGGGTAGATTTCCTCTCACTTCCTATCCTATAGCCAAAGCAGGAAGTGAGAGGAAATCCCTTCAAAGTGAACAAATTTAACCCCCCTGGCAGTATTCCTGAGTGAAGCTCGGGGTAAAGTTTCAGCACCACAAGCAGTAACCCCGAGCTACACTCGGGAATACCTTGCAACGTTGCTTCGGGATCCCTTCTGTACTTACCTTGTCCTGCGCGCCCTGTGATGTCCCTCCTACTGTGTCCCCGGCAATGTCCTCTGGCCAATGCCGGCATCTGTCTTCCGGGTTCCGTTCCCTGCGACGTCGGGACAGAACCGGTGGGAAATTTAAAAATGTCAAAAAGTGACATTCACTAAATTCAGTAAAATCACATAGTAAAACATTACTGTATCAAACCATTTCACATACATTTTGTCCCGAGTGCTTTGTCCTGTGCCCTGCCTGCATTTTTACTGTTCTTTCTGCCTGGAAACTGGGAAATGTCCATGGCGTCCAAAAAAGCGCCCCTTTAGGTCAAAAGCGGTTTTAGACCAGCTAGAGAACAGCGATAGTAAATTAGAACTACTTGCAGAATTGAGTGATAATGATTTGTGGGGAAATTCGTCATCAGACACTGAAAACGATTTTGCGACTTTGCTCAGTGATGTGCGAACTTGGCGCTATATTTCAAATTTCAGTGTTTTTGGTTTGATGACATTATTGAATTAAATGTATTATTATATTATTATTTTTTATGATTATTTATTAAATTATAATTTATGATTTCGTGTTTCAAGTTTTATCATACCCGGGATGTTTACTAGACTCTTGTTCGGACAGATTTCAGTGAGTTATTCCTAAGAATTACAGGCCTACAATAAAAAACGACATATTTCCATGCAAAAAAATGTACCGCTTTGAGCACAGAAATATGGACATAATCAGTCCGCTAGGGAGGCTACGAAACTAGTGTCCACATTGGAAGATCTCTTTAGTATTGTTCTGGGGTGTTCAGCAAAGTAGACATCTTTGGAAAAAACTACTTGTTCAAGGGACTAAATCAGAATCCTAATCTACTTGTCCTGTGTTAATCAAAACTGTGTTTAAATCTGAGGGGCTTTTAACCACTTGACAGTCGGGCTATATTTATTATTATACAGTATTTATAAAGCGCCAATGGTTCGCTCAGCGCTGTACATTAAAAAGGGGGACAGAACATGTGACAGAACAATACCAATACAATGCAAAACATGAGGGGATCGAGGGCCCTGCTCTTTCGAGCTTACAATCTAGGAGATATAGCCGAATGACGGCTACAGTGTGGTTGTCCAGTTCTGGGAGGGCGTCCTATGACGTCCTCCCAAAACGCGCCCTCCCGCATGCCCCCAGTGGCGCGCACCCGGCGATCTCCATGATCACTGTGTCCTGCGGACACAGCTATCACGTGATGTGGTAAAAGGCCAATCACATTGACCAATGACACAGCAGATCACCGGGTAAATGCAGTTGCCGGTTGTTGGCTGCGCTTACCTCACGGTGCCACAGCTTGAGGAAAGTACTACCGATAACCGGCAATTGTCAGAAAACAGATTGACACTAATGATCAGTGCCCTGATGATCAGTGCCTAGCAGTGCCACCCATCAGTAGTTGCATATCAGTGCAGCATCATCAGTGCTGCCTATCAGTGCACATCAGTGAAGGAGAAAAAGTAGCTGTTTGCAAAATTTTATAATAGTAACAAAGAAAAAACATTTTTTTTTTCTCATTTCTTTTTTGTTTATAGAGCAAAAAATAACACAGCCAATGGCAATTAAATACCACCAAAAGAAAGCTTTATTTGTGTGAAAAAAGTGATGCAAATTTCATATGGGTACAATATTGCATGACCGCGCAATTGTCATTCAAAATGCGACAGCGCTGAAAATTGGCCTGGGCACTAAGGGGGTATAAGTACCAAGTAGGCAAGTGGTTAAAGACGAAAGGGGCTTTATGGTGACTTAATGTTTTTAACATTGCACTGTTTATCTCCTACTCACCTCCCTGCCTGTCTCCATCAACAGACCCGATGATTAGCAGGTAGGGGGAGAGACCTTGCAGTGTAATGAGCACCGATTGGGTGCTCTCCAGGAAAGGCTCTTTTAAACGCTCAGCAGAAGTGCATTTGCTGAGCAATTAAATAAGGCGCAGTCCCCAATGAGGAAAAAAAAAAAAACTTTATTCCTTCAGGTTACTCTCACACATGTAAGCACTTTGGTGCTCAGTACTAGTGCCTGCTGAGCAGCCAAATCGAGCTGCAGTGGCCGTGGCATACCTGGGCATTGTGGGATTGCAGCAGACTTGCTGTGATTTGCCCGCAATCTCAAAACACAATACAATCACAAAATGCAGATTCAGCTGTCATTTTCAATGGCACCTCAAATGCAGTGCGCTTTTGCCATGCAATTTACTGTGCGGCAATCTCGGCAGATCGCATCACGTGAAGCTTGTCGCCCTAAAAAGGAGTAGGAGCTTCTTTTGGGCAACAAGCTTCATGCATTGTGGTGTGTCACGCAACAATCGCGGCAAAGCCATTCTGAGTTTTAGGTACCTTTTGAAAATAATGGCACCTGAACCTGTGTTTTGCGATCATGGGCAGAATCACAGCTATTCTGCTATGATCCTAAGACGCCCAGATGTGAATGGAAGCAACTTGGTACACACATGTGTGATTCTGGATGCGGTTTTAAACTCACAGATTTGCACGACAGGCTAAATATTATGTGTTCCTATTGAAGTGGTCCATACAGATGCAATCCACACTCATTGCATTTTGAGTGCCATTACAAAAAAAGGGTTCTATGTGAGTTTGTAGTGGTGTGTTCCAGACTCTCAAGTGATGCAGAGATAAGTGTTCACACAGTCTTGCTATTGACAGGCGTTTTAGCATTGAAGTCAGTAGGAGGCATTTTTGCATTGAAGTCCATGCCCCAATATAATCCCTCCTACACAGGAAGTACTTCAGTTTTTTTGCCAGTGTCTGTAAGGTGGATGGTCACAAGGTCCGCCATGATGGATGAAGAGTGAACTTCTGTTATTATTCAGAGTCCTGCAATGTGAATAAGTTTACATTTGCTGTTTCGTCTGGCCGGGCCATGCTCTGTGTGTCTCTGCAGGGCCACTCTAAATAGCCTACTGTTGTGCAATGGAGGCAGGAAGTAGAGGGGCGGCTATTTTGGCTTATGGTTGAAATCACATGTGGGATGAAGGATCAGTGAGGCTCCTGAGAAATAGAAAACACAGAGCAATCTATGGCTGAATGATGCTGTGTTAGTATTACCTGTGGGGAGCTGCATGACCAGACATGATACGATTATACACTGCATTAGTCTGCATAATCCCGGGGGGCTTGCACAACTGTTTTCTGATACACCCCTGCACGGGTATCAGTGCACTTAAAGGGGTGAGTCTCCAGAGTAGCTTTCATTTCATCTGCAGGGGCTTACATTTGAGGCTGCATTCAGGCGGAGTGTGATGCATATTTGCGTGACTTGTCCTGCAAGTGTGTAGTTAATTTTGACAGCTCTTTCATGAATCAATACACTTCTAGAAAGTGTTCCAAGACAGTGTCATATGACATCCTCCCACTAAGCATGAGTGCTCCAGGGGGTGCGGCGGCGCGGCGATCAGTGGTGCTCTGTGTCCTTTCGGACACAGCGGATCACCGATTGCAGTAAAGAGCCAATGACGTAGACTCTATTATGTGATCAGCTGTGTCTAATCACAGCTGATCACATGCAAATAGATAATGCTGGTTATTGGCAGTCCATTCCTTACACTGACACGCGTGAGGAGAGCAGAGCCAGTAAGCGGCGGTCCTCAGAGGGGACATCTACACTGATAATCAGTGCCACATATCCATGCCTGTCAGTACCCATCAGTGCTGTCAATCAGTGCCACCTATCAGTACACATCAGTGAAAGAGAAAAATTACTTATTTACAACATTTTATAACTGGAAAAAAAAGTTTTTCTTACTCTAAATTGTTTATTTTTAGTTTTGTTTAGCAAAAAATGAAAAACCCAGTGGTGATTAAATACCACCAAAAGAAAGCTCTATCTGTCTAAAAAAAATGATAAAAATTTTGGTTTGGGTGCAGTGTTGCATCACCGTGCAATTGTCATTCAAAGTGTGACAGCACTGAAATCTGAAAATTGGCCTTGGCAGAAAAGCGGTGAAAGTGCCAGGTAGGCAATTGGTTATAGAAAGGAATACAGTGGAGGTTCACTGATGTTTTGGGGTTGCTTTGCTGCTTCAGGCACTGAATTTCTTGACCGTGTGTATTGCATTATGAAATCTGAAGACTACCAAAGAATTCTGGGGTGCAATGTAAGGCCCAATGTCAGAAAGTTGGGTCTCCATCCGAGTCATGAATCAGCAGGACAAGGACCCAAAGTGCACGTCACAAAGCACCCAGTAATGGCTTAAGACAAAGCACTGATGGGATAGTGTTGAACTGGCCAGCAATTTGTCCAGATCTCAATCCCATAGAACCCCTGTAGAGAGATCTCAAAACTGCAGTTGGGAAAAGGAACCCTTCCAATCTGAGAGACCTGGAGCATTTGGCGAAAGAAGAGTGCTCCAAATTTCCAGTAGAGAGGTTTAGAGAAACTCATTGATGGTTATAGGAAGCAATTGATTTCAGTTATTTTTTTCTAAGGGGTGTGTTACCAAATATTCAATTGAGGGTGCCAATTTTATCCAGTCCATTTTTGGGGTTCTGCATGGAATGTCAGATGTGGCTTTTTGTTTCTCCACTTTTTGGGGGTCATACCAATACAAACAAAAGAAATAAACATGAGAATGCCTAAACATTTGTAATTGCAACAATTCTCTGGACAAAGTGGTGCATTCTTACAGAAATGCAGGGTTGACAATATAAATAAATACCTTGCACCCAAACCCCCTCCCGTTTTTATAACTGACCACATACCCTTTAAGCTTCTCGTGCAGCTGAGAACAGAGAGCTGTGGGAGGAGAAACATCATTGCACTGATCTTCCCAGTGAATGGCTGTTAGAAGAAGAAGGGGGGGGGGGGGGTTGTTGGCAGCATGTCAGGGCAAGTCTGATCATTGCTGGAGAGCACACGGAGTTCCAAGCACAGCTAGAAAAATGACCACACTTTTGCTCTCCTGCCTAGTGTAGTCAGTTTTTAATAGGAAAGCAGGGCGACTGGCAGGAACACCAGGGATTTCAACACAGGGGAAGCAATACAAATAGAACAGGATACTTTTTCAGACAAGTACATGATACAGCAGGCATGTATTAGGAATATGAAATGTTGGGTCTACATTTATTTTAGGAAACGTATAGACAAAATACTGTATGTGGGTTGTTCTTGCTTGCCACCTTTAAAATTCTAAGTGGCTGGCAGTCGTTCGCTTTTGTATATTAAGGTACCTTTCAGACGGGGCGGACCCGTCAGCGGATCTGCCTGCTCAGCAGGGGATCTTTCTGCTGAGCAGGTGGATGACAGGTCTGTGTCCGCTCCACTGCTGCAGAACGGACACAGACACTGCCTGCTGTCTTCCATGGGGTGGTCGGATGGAAATAGACCGCCTGTCTGTTTCCATCTGATCCAATCTACCAGATGGATGGGGAACAGATCCCCATTCATCTGTTTTTGGTGTACAGGATCAGATGCCGGGGGGTGTCAGCGGACACTTACAGTAACAAGTTGGGCAAAAGAAAAAAAAAAAAACTTTAAAAAATGTGTCAAGCGCAAAACACACTGCAAAACGCAAACTGCATTGGTGTGAACTAGACCTGAAATGCATTGAAAATGTATTATACATGCTTATACGTGGGCCCTCCCACGTATAAGCATGTACAAACATAAAAGCACAGGCTGGGGCACCTACACATGATCACCGCGCACGTTAGGATGGAGCATTGATTCTAGCACTAGACCTCCTTCGTAATGCTAAACTGATGACCTGTAAGATACTTTAAAAGTGTCACCTGTAGAAAATATAGGGTACTGAAGTTCGTCGCCATTTCACGAGCACGCACAAATTTTAAGATTTGACAAGTTGGATATCTATTTACTGGGTGCAACCTCATCTTTTATATTTTACAAAAAAAAAAGGGAAATTTATTGCTTTTTTTTTTTTTTTTTTTTTTTTTTTTTTTTTTTGTGCCCTAAAATGAACTTACTTGGATTTTTTACTGCAATTTTGCTGTAATATCATACAACATAAAACATTGTAACTAGCACTATTTTATTCTCTAGGGTCTCTGCTTTTAGAAAATATATAATGTTTGGGGGGTTTATTTAATCTTCAGGCCTAAAATGATTTTTTTAAACTTGTGCAAAAAATGCAAAAACGGCTCTGTCCGTGAAAGGGATAAAGGATAAGTCTGACACTCCCCTTTCCTGACAAGCACCCAATCAGTGCTCATTACACTGCAAGGTCTTTCTCCTCCCTGCTAAGTCCCCGGGTGCCGTGCTGGAGACAGGCAGGGAGGGGAGGAGGAGACAAACAGCACCTCCGATTTAAATATGGTTTTGGTTAAAAAAAAAAAAAAAATTTTATCGGTACAAGTAGATTGTCATGAGGGACAAGTAGATTTGGGACACCAATTTAGTCCCTGGACATGTAGTTTTTTTTTTTTCAAAAATTTTCACACCCCTGTGATTGTTATAGATGACGTAGACACACATGGCAAAAAAGTACAGCTGGGTTGGTGACGTGTGTGTGTTTGTTACTGTTTAAGTATTTCCAGGTAAGTTACATTTCTCTGAATTAAAAGTATCTATCTCCAACCCCCTTCCTTTTTTTTTTTTTTTTTTGTTTTTTTTTTTTTTTTTGTTTTTCTCCAGGGACCACCAAGATCATCCAGTCTCCAAGCGCCTATTATGCTGTTATCTGGACACGAAGGAGAAGTATACTGCTGCAAATTTCATCCCAATGGGCTTACACTTGCTTCAGCAGGATTTGACCGATTAATCCGTAAGCAAAAATAGTGACCATTCTTTTTCCGAAACATAAAAATTTTCTTTACTACCATAAATTAAAAATTTTAATTGGCAGCAGCGTAACAGCATAAAAAAGGAACTCTACAAAAACAATTTGAGAGGCCATACTGTAGAACGCAAAATATTGTCGAAAAGGAAGCCAATCTAGCCTCTAATTCTTCTTGTGTCAAGTGAGAATGCACTGCTGCAGCCTGCTGAAGTTGGGGATACCTGCGGGGAGGATTGGAAATCTCACAGGATGATTATTGGAAGTGCTTAGTATTTATGGATGTTGACACTACACACAGTTTCTTCCAGGAACTACTACAACATGTTAGTGATAAATGTTTGAGGCAACCACAGGGATGTTGGATTCCTATCGCCTGACGCCCGGGACATGTAGTTCCGGGCGTCGGGCAGGTAGTGTTTTTCTACCTTGTAGCCAAGCTGCAGGCAAGCATCAGGCTCACCTGTCAGGTGAACATTCAGGCAGCAGCAGCTGCCCCCCAAATGCTTCCACACAGTGCCACAGTGATTTTGTCTCCTATGTGACAAAAAAAAACAACTTGTTTTTAATTTTTTTTTTTTTTTCAATTGTAAAAAATTAAAGTTACACCTAAGCACATACCACCCCTATCCCCCCCACCCCCAAAAAAAGAAATTGAGGACCGCCACATATAGGCATGTACAAACGTAAAAGCACACGCTGGGGAGCCTACACATGAAACCGTCAATTGCAATACACATATGACATATCGCCGCGCACGCCAGAATGACCGCAATAATTCTAGCACCTGACCTCCTCCGTAACGCTGAAATGATGACCTCTAAGGAGCTTTTAAAGTGTCACCTGTAGAAAATATAGGATACTGAAGTTTGCCATTTCACAAGCGCGCACAAATTTAAGGTTTGACAAGTTGGATATCTGTTTACTCGATGCAACCTTGTCTTTTATATTTTACAAAAAAATAGGGTAATTTATTGCTTTTGTGCCCTAAATTTAACTTACTTGTATTTTTTAATGACATTTTGTAGTAATATCATGTAACATAAATAATTGGAACTACCAATATTTTATTCTCTAGGGTCTCTGCTTTCAGAAAATATATAATGTTAGGGGGTTTTATGTAATCTTCAAGCCTAAAATGATTTTTTTAAACTTGTGCAAAAAATGCAAAGACGGCTCTGTTAGCAAAAGTGATAAAGAATAAGCCCTGACCCACCTTTCCTGACAAGCACCCGATCGGTGCTCATCACACTGCAAGGTCTCTCCCCACCCTGCTAATTCCCCGGGTGCCGTGTTGGAGAGAGGGAGGGGAGGAGGAAATGTTAAAAATATTACACGTTTTATGTCGCCATAAAGCCCATTTTTGTTTTTAGAAGTCCCAGACATACCTAATATCACCTCTGATTTAAATAGTTTTTTTGGTTAAAATTAATTTTTTTTTTTTTTTTTATCTGGACAAGTAGATTGGGGCACCGATTTTAGTCCCTGGACAAGTCGTTTTTTAAAACATTTCCACACCCCTGCAGTCAAAAAAAAAATATTGAAAATGTTTTATTTTCTTGCAGTTCTGTGGAATGTGTATGGGGAATGTGACAACTATGCAACCCTAAAGGGTCATAGTGGAGCTGTGATGGAATTGCATTACAATACAGATGGCAGGTAAGTAAGCTGTATTCACACCACACATAATGCGCTGCCATGAAGTATCTATGAAAGAAAATGGTGTCTGTATGTGTGTGTCGTGTTTTTGGTTTTTGTTCATTTATTCTAGACAACCAACATAACAATGTAATTTCTTTGTGTGAATGATTTGAAATTTTAGAGAAGCAAATTTTACTGTTTTTATCTACTTTGGTGTTGGCATATAAATGGAGATTAAATTCAAACTCAGCTGCTGGAACTACATTGGGTATACAGAAGCTATAGGTAAACCATGTATACTGCTAAAGTAACAAAAATAATTTTGCTGACTTGTAGAAGATCTACCCCTAGAGTCACATTATAGCAAAGAAACCTGGTGAAAGTGCTTCACTCTATACTATACATTTAGATTTCTTTCTGTTCTTCAGTCTTCAGTCTTTCCTCCTCTTCCGTAAAGCATCATCACTGGGGTCAGACCATCTTACATCAAATCTTGATTTATGCTTGGTAGTTTGAAATACCAATTCAGAGAGTAGTAGTGTTCTACATTCTGGGTGGAAGAGTAAGCAGAACAGGAATTGGTCCTTCCCTTGCTTGAGATTCATGAGCTCATAATTTGTATTTGAGTCCTAAAGCAATGCATGAGATGCCCTATATATAGCAATGGTGATTTAGGTATATTTTAATGTAGTTTTGTATGCTTAGTTCAATGGTTTAAAATGGTATTAAAGATTTAGCTTAAAAAAAAAAAAATTGTATACCTGCGTTTTGCACAGAGCAGCCTGGATCCTCCTCTTCTTGGGTCCCTCGTCGGTGCTCCTCCCCCTTGACCAGTAGCCTCAATAGCAAGCCGCTTGTTTATGGAGGCACTGGTGTGTGCTTGCTCTCAAGCCAGTCTCTTGTGTGTCCATAAGACACATAAAGCAGAGGCTTGGCTCGTCCCCCTGCTCTCTCCTCACTGGCTGGCTGTGATCAGCTAATGAGGAAAGGGAGTCCTGGGACAGCTGAGGCTCTTGTGCACATCACTGGATCAAGAGGGGGCTGTGGGGGGCGTAACATACTGAAGGGTTTTTTTTTTTTTTTTTTTTTTACCTTCATGCATGAAGGTAAAAAAAAAACCTTTCTTCCTTTACAACCACTTTAAGCAAAAGTTACAGTTATGATGAAAAGGTTAAAGTGGAACTATACCCATAACAGTTTGATAAATGTTTTTATCAAGGAACATACATTGCACATTAATAATTATGCTACCAAAATTTGTGTGTGTGCTGTCAATTGCCTCCAGGATTGTTTCTGGCTTTTCTTGCTGGAGGCTGTCATTTTTCTGAAAGCCAGAGCCTTTGAGCAGCAGTAAATCTTTAGGGTGCCAGCAGACTGGCTTCTACATTTTTTGGCATTTTTTTTTTAAACAGTATAGGTACTTATTTTTATGTTTTACCTAGCTATACCTGCAAAAGGGGCCAGCCTTAAGTGATCTAGCAGGACTTGGTTTTCTGACTGAACTTCCACTTTAATGCTGAACATCAGGCAGATATACTAAATAAAAATGAATGCAGCTATGTATTCAAAATATATATAATATATATATATATATATATATATATATATATATACAGTCATGGCCGAAATTGTTGGCACCCTTGATATTTCTCCAGGAAAATCATGTATTTCACACAAAAAACGTATTGCATTAACACATGTTTTGCTATACACATGTTTATTCCCTTTGTGTGTATTGGGACAAAAAAAAAAAAAGGGAGGAAAGAAAAGCAAATTCGACATAATGTCACACAAACCTCCAAAAATGGGCTGGACAAAAGTATTGGCACCCTTTCACAACTGCGGATAAATAAGAATGTTACAAGCATGTGATGCTCCTGTAAACTCACCTGGGGCAAGTAACAGGTGTGGGCAATATAGAAATCACACCTGAAAGCAGATAAAAAGGAGAGACGTTCACTTAACCTTTGCATTGTGTGTATTGTCTGTGCCACACTAAGCATGGACAACAGAAAGAGGGAGACGAGAACTGTCTGAGGACCTGAGAACCAAAATTGTGGCAAAATATCAACAATCTCAAGGTTACAAGTCCATCTCCAGAGAACTAGATTTGCCTTTGTCCACAGTGCGCAACATTATCAAGAAGTTTGCAACCCATGGCACTGTAGCTAATCTCCCTGGTCGTGGACGGATGAGGAAAATTGATGAAAGATTGCAACGCAGAATAGTCCGGATGGTGGATAAGCAGCCCCAAACATGTTCCAAAGACATTCAAGCTGTCCTGCAGGCTCAGGGAGCATCAGTGTCAGCGCGAACTATCCGTCGACATTTAAATGAAATGAAACGCTATGGCAGGAGACCCAGGAGGACCCCACTGCTGACACAGAGACATAAAAAAGCAAGACTACAGTTTGCCAAAATGTACTTGAGTAAGCCAAAAGCCTTCTGGGAAAACGTTCTTGTGGACAGATGAGACCAAGATAGAGCTTTTCGGTAAAGCACATCATTCTACTGTTTACCGAAAACGGGAATAGGCCTACAAAGAACAAAACACAGTACCCGGTGCAAAAATATGGTGGAGGTTCAATGATGTTTTTGGGGTTGTTTTGCTGCCTCTGGCACTGGGTGCCTTGACTGTGTGCAAGGCATCATGAAATCTCTTTACCAAAGGATTTTGGGTCGCACTGTAGGGCCCAGTGTCAGAAAGCTGGGTTTGCGTCCAAGATCCTGGGCTCTTCCAGCAGGACAATGACCCCAAACATACGTCAAAAAGCACTCACAAATGGATGGCAAAGAAGCGCTGGAGAGTTCTGAAGTGGCCCAGCAATGAGCCCAGATCTAAATCCCATTGAACACCTGTGGAGAGATCTTAAAATTGCTGTTGGGAAAAGGTGTCCTTCCAATAAGAGAGACCTGGAGCTGTTTGCAAAGGGAAGAGTGGTCCAAAATTCCGGGTGAGAGGTGTCAGAAGCTTATTGATGGTTATAGGAAGCGACTGATTTCAGTTATGTTTTCCAAAGGGTGTGCAACCAAATATTAAGTTAAGGGTGCCAATACTTTTGTCCAGCCCATTTTTGGGGTTTTGTGTGACATTATGTCATATTTGCTTTTCTGCCTCTGTTTTATATTTGTTCCAATACATACAAAGGGAATAAACATGTGTATAGCAAAACATGTGTTAATGCAATACCTTTTTTGTGTGAAATACTTGATTTTCAGGAAAAATATCAAGGGTGCCAACAATTTCGGCCATGACTGTATATATATATATTTTTTTTTATTTTTTTTTTTCTTATAAACCACGAATGTTGCACCTGAATTTGTCTGTAATCTCTTGCAATCCACCTGTAAAGCAACACTCCCACTAGGAGAAAGAGGGGGCAGTGCTGAAAGCCCATCAGGTGAGATGCTCGCAAATATGCTGATAATAAATGTGTTTACACGATAAGCATGATACATGATAAGTAAAAGACAGCCTTATCACCATGCTGCTGCTCCTTCACTGGCTGAGCAGGGAGCTGGGGTTGCAGAGATGACACCACATTTCCTAATTGTAAAAGAGGATATGTTATCATCCACCCGACTGGTGCACCTGACTCTGTACAGCCACACACTGGTTCCTTTCTCTGACCCCAATGTTATGGTGAATTCTGTAGTGATGTAAGGACCAGAGGATGGAACCACAACACATGCATGGGAACAAAGGCTTCTGACTTTCCTAGAAGTGTTGAATGCTGAGGAGTCTGACAGAGACCATATCACTTGAACAGAGCTAAGGTAGGAGACACAGGAGAGGTGAATGTAGTATCTCTTCTAAGACAGGGGACTTCCATTTATATTTTTTTTATGTGACTAACAATGACAGTGTTTAAAGGGGCTGTAAGGCCCCACTGCTGATTTTGTGTTTGAATGTACATATTCCAAGGCTGTCCTTCATATCCTTTCTAAACTAATCCGCAAGAAGTAAAATGGGGATAAAGAGGGCAACCACAAAGACTGCACCCTCCAAAAGCAAAGATGTAACATTTTTAAACTAACCCTTTTCTATCACCTTGTCTTGATATTAAGTTGGGTGTTTTGCAAGTTCACAGTTGTATACAACAGCCTTTTAGAATGGTGGAAAAAAAGAGGACAATAAGCCCTTTACCCTGGAATGCATGAATAGTTAAAGTGATATCATCACTGTTCTTTCTGATCAGAATTTTAACCAATATTTGTGCTTCTTTCTACAGCTTGCTGTTCTCTGCGTCAACTGATAAAACCGTTGCAATTTGGGACTGTGAAACTGGAGAGAGAGTGAAGAGGCTAAAAGGACACACATCATTTGTGAATTCCTGTTATCCTGCCAGGAGGGGTCCACAGCTCATCTGTACAGGCAGTGATGATGGGACAGTGAAGGTGAATGCAGCTGCACACAACTGCTATTGCTAGAGCCAAACAATTGATCATTTTAACTTGGTGTGGTCCTGTGTAAAGTATTTAAGATGGTAGAGTGAAATGGGGTCATTTTCTGCTGAAGTATACATAGCTTTAACACATCCATGTATGCTGTACACATGTAGCGTATATGTTGGAGCGTGTTAAACCGCTCAGTGTCTAACTTTGCATCATACATGAACCTTCACCAAGAGCATCAGCACTATTGCCCCAAGCATAACACTCTGGTAACAAGCAGAGCTCATAGCACACTCTAATGTGTGTAAATATGTATATTTCAAAACCGCCTTTCTACATTCTAATAAACATATACGTCCGATTGAGACGTCATAGGGACCGGAACAAGAAGTTTACCCGGATGAAAATTTATACACGGCATCTGCTAAAGAGGTTAAGACGCTGTTTCACCTTTGGTAAACCTTAAACTGAGAGAAATATAGGTGCAACATATCTGATAACCTCTACTAAACATTACTTAGTTGCTGACTGTTCTCCTTGCTTAATTAATTGGAGTTGGTGTCATGAACACGCACTTGGATGGGAAAGTTCAGCCAAGAGATAAAAAATGTAGTTGTTTTGGGTCCTTATTTAGTATGGCAGATATTTTATTCTACAGGTTTAATGGGTACAAATTCAACCTTTTTAAAAGGAGAGATCTATAATGGCAACTTAACACCTTCTTTAGAAGGTTTCTTTTAATAAAAATGGACTTATACAGTACAACCTTTGGTATGGTTACAAACAGGCAGTCTAAGGTAACCTTACAAAGCTGTGAACATAAGGCTTGGACGTTTGTCAGTAGAAAATGACATCCATTGAGTTTAGGATGGGGGGGGAGAGAAAGAACCTTCAAATATAAATGATTTTGCCAAAATGATGATGCTCCAGGTGAGTGACCAACTCTCATGTTCTGAACTGGAACCCTGGGTGCTACACAGCTTGTCTGAGATTCAGTAACATGCACAAATGCAGAATATTGCTGAACTCCTTGGTATCTTTATTGAAGCATTAAAATGACATCACAGGTATGACAGGAGCATTAAAAAGTGCGTGTTTCATGCTAAATTCAATGCTTACGCAAACCTCATATATAATATAATATTGTGTCTGTATATGCTCATACACAGGTCCATATATATTTGGACACAGGCACAATTTTAGAAAATGACATCCATTTTTTTCAGCTATTTACCAAAACATATTCAAGCTATAGTTCTTTAATAGATATGAGCTGAAAGTGCACACTCTCTTTAATAGATTCCGGTTTAATTTGAGGGTATGTACATCCAAATTGGAGGAAGGGTTTAGGAATTACCACTCTTAAAGTAGTCATCTCCCTTTTTCAAGGGACCAAAAGTAATTGGACAATTGAATCAAAAGCTGTTTCATGGCCAGGTGTGGGCTACACCTTCGTTATTTCTTCATCAATTAAGCAGGTAAAAGGTCTGGAGTTGATTCTAAGTGTGGTATTTTCATTTGGAATCTATTGCTGTGAACCTACATCATGTGTTCAAAGGAAGCTGCAAGTGAAACAAGCCATTGTAAGGCTTCAAAAATGAAACCAATCCATAAGAGAGATAGCGGCAACATTAGGAGTGGCCAAATCAACAGATTGGTACATTCTGAGGAAAGAAGAATGTACTGGTGAGCTCAGCAACATAAAAAGGCATAGATGTCCACGGAAGACAACAGTGGTGGATGATCACAGGATCCTCTCTATGGTAAAGAAAAACCCATTCACAACATCCTTACAAGTGAAGGACACTCTCCAGGAGGTCGACGTATCGTTGTCAAAGTCTACAATTAAGAGAAGACTTCACGAGAGCAAATACAGGGTTCACTACAAAGTGCAAACCATTCATAAGCATGAAGAATAGAAAAGCCAGATTAGACTTTGCCAGAAAACATCTAAAAAAGCCAGACCAGTTCTGAGAGAGCATTCTGTGGACAGATGAACCTAAGATTAATTTGTACCAGAATGACGGGAAGAAAAAAAATGGACAAGGCTTGGAACAGCTCATGATCCAAAGCACACAACGTCATCTGTAAAACATGGTGGAGACAGTATGATGGCATGGGCATGCATGGCTTGGTGTTTATTGATGATGTGACAGAAGACAGCAGCAGCCGGATGAATTCTGCAGTGTTTACAGATATACTGTCAGCCCAGATTCAGCCAAATGCAGCAAAGTTGATTGGATGGCGCTTCACAGTACAGATGAACAATGATCCAAAACACACTGCAAACGTAATCCAGGAGCTTTTGAAGGAAAAGAAGTGGAATATTCTGCAATGGCCGAGTTAATCACCTGATCTCAACCCAATTGAGCATGCATTTCACTTGCTGAAGGCAAAACTAAAGGCAGAAAGACCCACAAACAAAGAACAACTGAAGACAGCTGCAGTTAGAGCTTGGCAAAGCATCAGAGAGGAGGAAACCCAGTCTTTTGGTAATGTCCATGGGTTCCAGACTTTCAGGCAGTCATTGCCACTAAAGGACTCTCAATAAAAATATTACACATTAACATTTTATTTGTTATTATATATTCAATTGTCCAATTCCTTTTGGTCCCTTGAAAAAGGGGGGTTGGCTACTCTTAAGAGCTGTAATTCCTAAACCCTTCCTCCAATTTGGATGTACATACCCTCAAATTTAAACCTTAGTGTGTGCACTTTAAGCTCATATCCATAACTATAGCTTGAATATGTTTTGGTAAATACCTGTAAAAAATCTGTGTGTCACACTAGTGAGCATGGTTTGGCAACTGAACAATTAATAAATCTAATTAAAATTACACTCCCACTGCACTGAGAGCCTACACTCTTTGCATTCTCATACCATGACATAACGGGGTTTATTTACTAAAGCTGGAGAGTCCAAAATCAGACTCCCTTCTGCATAGAAACCAATCAGCTTCTAACCTCAGCTTGTTCAATGAAGCTTTGGCAATGAAACCTGGAAGCTGATTGGTTTCTATGCAGAAGTGAGTCTGATTTTGGACTCTCCAGCTTTAGTAAATAAACCCCAACATGTCATATAATACATAAAAAAAAAAGCAGGTCGATAAAAGTGTAAGGTAACCATTCAGAGCTGTGCACATAAGGCCTGGATGAGTTTAGGATGGGGGAGAGAATCCTCAAGTATAAATGATTTTGCAGATTTATTCTGTTATAACGGTTTATCTTCCTTTTCACAGCTTTGGGACTTCAGGAAAAAGGCAGCAGTGCAGACTTTCCAAAATACATATCAAGTATTATCCGTTACCTTCAACGACACCAGTGACCAGATTATCTCAGGAGGCATAGATAATGATATAAAGGTAAGGACCATTATTTGGGTTACCGAAATCATGGTGTTAATCTCCAGCAATGTTTAATGTACATAAATGATTTATTGTATGAGCTACAATGCAGAGCTGGATAATTTTACAGGAGAGCCGAGGACTTGGAAGTCTTACGCCTTTTCTGTGATCATCCTCGTTGGGAGGGACTAGTTAGGAGAGTTGCTGCCACAAATACCTCTTTAAATTTGTCAATATTTCATTTCACCATAGCAGCACTTCTGTGGCTGATTTCATATGTAGATCAACACTTCACATATGCTCTCCCTTAGTGTGCCAAGGGACGTAATTCATTGAATAACGTCCCCTGCTGTAACATGGTTAATTGATTTATTTGTTTTCCCTTTTCTGCTAGGTGTGGGATCTAAGACAGAACAAGCTGATGTATACAATGAGAGGTCATGGTGATTCTGTATCAGGCCTCAGTCTTAGTTCTGAAGGTTCTTACTTGCTCTCGAATGCAATGGATAACACAGGTATTGCAAACTTTAAAGAACATGGGGAGATGTATAGTCTATACAGCATATGGCAATATTGGATAATGAATGTGATATAAGCAGAATAGTTTTGGATCTACATTGAGACCTCTATGGAGAGCTACTAATAAGAAAGTCCAGTTGCATTCCAGTTTGGTTTGTTCTATACAGGAATATACAACAAGAAAGGGCAGATATATGCCAGCTATTGCTGATATTCTAGAATCAACCACAACACCATATGAATGCTTCTCAGGCATCTTACAACATAAGCTGCAAGCAATCTTTTGCTTGTACTTGGCAAGTAAGTAAGCAAATGCGATCAAGCCTCATTACTCGATCAAGCCTCATAAGTATTAGCAGTATAGATGTACACCTACGTTAGAAAACCTCTCTATATAAGCAACATTGCTAAAATAAATTTTTGTATAAGTGGTCAACTGCTGTGAGGCATCCAAAATACTTACTTTGTGAAACTGGTTAGGGAGAAGTTTGTTTTTCTATTTTTAGCCCAGCTCCAGAAAACAAAATTCCACCTTTTGCAGCAGGGCCTATGTACTGTGCAATCTCAAGAGAAGCTTTTTCATAAGGTAACTCTATTGCACCTAATCTAAAAGTGAATGCATCAGCTTGCGAACCCTTTCACTTGGGGCCAATTCCATTCTGATGAGAAGGGCATCTACTCATAGATCCCTTGCTGAGCAGAGCAGACAGATGGCACATCCATGTCAACTCAATTTCTACAGAGCGGACACAGACTGGGAGTAAACGTACCCTTCTGTCCATTTACAGCTGACTACCCTTCGATTTAGTCTGCCTGAACAGAAGAAGTATCCCTTTCACTTTTTTTTTGGGAAAAGGATTGGAGCCAGAAGTAGGCAGGTGTAACGTTCATTTACATCTGCCTGTTCATAGGAATGCATGAACTTTCCGATCAAATCCGCCTGAAAAACTGACAGACGGACCTGATCAGATCACCCATGTGAAAGGGGCCCAACACATAGTCTAACATCACACTATATAAAGAGATCTATATACAAATATAGTAAGCCAGTCAAGGTGTCCAGATATCACTGTCCACCACTTCAGTCTTGCCAAAATATCTCCACTCCTTTTCACGAAAATATGATGTTCCAGGTCTCCCCAACTTCTATGGGTTATCACCGGAGCATCAGTACTGAGTTTCATTTCCAGAAAAAGCATAGAAGGAAACAAGATACTCAGACTGTACAGATTTATTAAAATGAAGTCGTAAAAACGTACCCTATCCTGGATAGTTTAGCATGCAACAGTAGTGTCTGACGTGACCGCTGCGTAACAGCCTTATGCATCATTAGTGTCTGACGTAGGCATAGTTTGTGAAGTCCAATTCAACATGCATCAATCATGTCTGACGTCATTACTTAGTTGAAATGCACTGGAATCTGGAAGTGTGAAATGTATATACGGCTTTATTAAGCTTGTAAATGATATGCACAGTCTTAACTTTTTTATGCTTATGCTGTAAATAATAAATCTCAGTTTTGCTGCTCTTATAAGTGACCAGAAGAGAGGTGAGACTTGCCCAATTGTCTTTTGGTACAGAATTTCTTGCCCTTTCTGCATCTCCACAACACTGGGGTGTTTTGCAATAGAACAAGACAAGAGCATTAGGAAGGCTAGTTACATTTCTTTAGATGCCACACAGGGAGAGTGCATAAAACATAGGTCCGCTCAGGCTAAAATTAATTGATGTGTGGCTTGAACGTGAATCTTTCTTTGTTAATGGTTTTTATTTTTTTTGTCTAATAGTCCGCATATGGGATGTTCGCCCATTCGCCCCAAAGGAAAGATGTGTAAAAATTTTTCAAGGAAATGTGCACAATTTTGAAAAGGTTAGTAACTTTCATTGCTTGATTTACTCTTCTGTGGTGTGGTGTACCAAATGTGTGACTGACTGTATTTTTTCAGAATCTGTTGCGTTGTTCCTGGTCTTCAGATGGCAGCAAAATAGCAGCTGGATCAGCAGACAGGTAAAGGACCTATTTATCACTGCTTTCTTTAGTGACTTTACTCTCTTAGCCAGCATTTTAGCTTTGTACCTGTCCCCTTTTGCATAAACTCCTTTCCTTGCTTTCATGCAGGTTTGTGTATGTTTGGGACACCACCTCCCGCAGGATTCTATATAAGCTTCCAGGCCATGCAGGCTCTGTCAATGAAGTTGCCTTCCACCCTGAAGAGTCAGTTGGTAAGTTTCCAGAGGTTAGAATCTTTCTTACCCAACAGTCAGTAAATGAAATCCATAGAAGGAATTTTTGTAAGGGACAAATTTGGTGACAAACACACATTTCTGCCTGCCATAATATTTTAACAGGCTAATATTGTCTTTGCCATATCTTGTAGGAGCTTTAAAGTATGACTAATGGCAAAACATTTTTTTTTTTTTTTTTTTTGATTAGAGCACTTGACAGTTTTTTTTTTTTTTTTGGTTTTTTTTTATTGCTGTCTGTGCCCCCTTAAGGTGATTCACCTTCTCTCTGTTTGTCTTGTTTTAACGTTCTCTTTGAAATTGAACGTAAAAGAAAATCTTAAATTTTGGCTTGTCCCCAGAAAAGTAATAGAGGGGAAATCTTCCAGTGGGGATACTAGTTCTGATGACGGGGGTGTCCCCAAGGAATTCCCCTAACTTGCAGGGATTTCCTCACTTCGTGTTTTGGCTAGGGAACAGGAAGTAAAGGGAAATCTCAGCAATGGGACATAGATGGCGAAAATAAGAAATTCTGATGAGTTATATCCCTCCCTTGCTCTATCCAAAATGGGGAAAAAGATGCCTGTAGTTCTACTTTAAAGCTATCAATGTAATACATTACTTTTTTTCACAGCATTCTGTGCGTTCTACATTTTAACCCTGTTTCTCCTATGATTCAAAAATGGCAACTGATGATCTCACAGCCTATACTCCTATTGAGTACAGGTAATGTACTCAAGAGGCAAGTGCTAGACATGCATGAGCAAATACAGTGGGCAAAATAGTTATTTGATCCCCTGAAGGTTTTTTAAGTTTTGTTGATATTCTGTCTCTATCATTTAAAATACACTTATGTTAAAAATTATAGACCCTTCATTTCTTTGTGGGTGGGCAAACTTACAAAATCTGCAGGGGATCAAATAATTATTATCCCCACTGTATAACATACAACACTGCTGCACACTAAGAATAAGGTGGCCCTCCCACTGTACAAATATGACTGGGAATTGTAGTCTTCTGGTTGTATCTCCCTGGCAATGCATGCAAAGTCAGAGGAACCACCTAAACATAGCAGCCAGTAGATTAGCATTTGCTGTTTTGTAATGTTCAGGTACAGAAAAGAGTCACTAATAACACTACTTAGATTATTAATACCAAGAGAATACAAAGGGAGGAAAAGGGGGCATATATTTAAAATTTTGTCATATTAGCTGATTAAGACAGTGCCATAGATGTGACTTCAGGTGGGATTTGTAAATCACATTGCACAGTCGCACTGGTGTGAACCAGGGCTCGGTGTCCTGTAACACTGTAGTATATGTGCTACATGTACTTTTGTCTCATCTGAAACTTAGCAATGTAAAAAAGGATGACAATTCTTTTTAAGGTGTTTAAAAAAAAAAAAAAAAAATTCCTTCTGTCTTTGAAAATGGTACGCTGTTATTGCTCCTTCCTTGGACTTGTGCCATTCCTGTTATCTAGTGATCCCCAGAATGTTGAGTATTTTTTGTCCTATCACCCAGTCTAGCAGAAGATTTAGGACATAATGATAGACACTGGCTTATTAATGAAGCCCAGATATCAGTTGTTCTTTCCAGATAATCAGGCCATTCCAAAGTTGATTTGTCAGACATTGCAAAAAAAACAACTCATTTGGTTTAGGAAGGTTAGCAGTTTTGGGGGGAGGATTATGCTGTGATTAGTACAGGTAACATTTGTGGAAAGATAGAGAAATAAAATATTTAGGGGTAAAACTCACTGCTTCATATACGAACTTGTATAAGTTAAATTATATCTCACTTTTAAATGAGATTAAAGAGGAACTAAAGAAATTGGGAGGTGGTAACCCATCTTGGATAGGTCGCATAAATCTGATAAAAATGGTAATTGTACCTAAAATCCTATATAAATTTCAGATGATCCCAATTAAACTTCCGGAAGTTTTTTTTTAAGGTAATTAAAAAGATGTTAACAAGATATATGTGGAAGAATAAAAAACCTAGAAGATCTTATGATTTGTTGAGTAGAAATAAGGAGAAGGGTGGATTGGGAGTGCCAGATTTTAAGAGGTATTATAGAGCAGTAGTTCTAGCGAGAATTTGCGACTGGACACACAATCCAGAGGGGGAAAAGTTGGGTCAAAATTGAAAATGAACTAAGCGGAGTTAATTTGAGTAAAACCATATGGGTACCAGCACAATATAGAGGATTAAAAGATACCACGAGTGTTTATAGACTGCACAAGCTTATGAAGTGGGATTTTAATTCACAATTAACGTCACTGAGGAACACGGAGTATTTCCCTCCAGGTAGGGAGGAGAGCACAGGAAAATGGTTTAAAAAGGAGGACATTCAATTGAGAGATATTATGGAAGGGCAGGAATTGAGAACACTTAAGGACTTGGAAAAGGACAAAATGGAACTTTTCATTAAGATAGATGAGTGGAGATATCACCAATTAAAACACTTTGTCGGGAGTCTTCCAAAACCTCTGAGATTTAGAAAGGATTGGAATTTGTTTGAGAGGTTGTTGGAATCACGCGGAGATGGGAAACGGGGCACGGCAAAAATCTATAAGATTCTCACTGAATTAGACACATTCACAAAGCCAATGTACATAGCAAATTGGGAAAGGGATTTGGGGAAGGAGATAGATGAAGACAAACAGGAAAATACATAGACTAACGCACGAGAACGTAAGCATGAGAGAGGTGGAGGTAAATTATAAGTGTTTATTAAGATGGCACATTACACCGAATGTTGAACACAAGATGAGTGGGGAGAAGTCACCAGAGTGTTGGCGGGGGTGTGGAAAGATAGGCACGTTTATATCATATATGGTGGGAGTGCCCAAAAATTCAAGGTTTTTTGAAGACAATAGTTCAATTAATTGGGATAATTTCCAAGACAAAGATGGAATTGGAGTTGTGTCTATTACATAGTACAGAGTTGTGTCTATTACATAGTACAGAACTATCCGTGAACAAATATAAGGATACGGGTATATGGTATTATTTAAATGTGGCAAAAGGTCTGATACCTACGTTTTGGTATAGGTCAGAGGTGCCGAGCGAGGAGGACTGGGTGGAGAGCGTGAACCAGATATGTGGGATGGAGAAACTGTATTATATGCAAGAAGACAAGATGGGTTTATATTATATGAGTGTGGGGAAAATGGGAATATTTTGTGCCCAAGGTGAAATACAGGAAGCAGTAGAGTGGGATATGTGAAAGTGCCCCTTGATTAGGGAGAGATATAGTGGAGAAATACAGAGTGGGTGGTTCTGGGGGGGGTAGGATGGAGAATGGGTGGGGTTATGGCAATAGTGACAGAAAGGGATATAATTGATGGTTTTGTATGCTATGAGAGCAATGATGGAACATGTATTTTATATGGAAAATTAATAAATATTTAAATAAAAAAAAAGTACAGGTAACATTTATTTTTCCATCTATGAATGTATGCTGTTATTAAGACTTGCTTTATTTAACGACGCATAGTTGTTTGATTTTTTTTTTTTCTTTCTTTTTTTTTACAGTTCTGTCTGCTTCCAGTGACAAAAGACTATATATGGGTGAAATCCAATGATCTAGCAGCAATTTTCGGATTCATTTGTTTAGCGTACTGTTTCCCTTTTATAAACTGACCCAAAGGACTGTTTTAAAAGAATATATGTTCATTGTTTCTTCCTTCTTGTCTTCAGATATTTGCTTATTATATGCACTGCTCAAAAAAATTAAAGGAACACTTTTTGAAAACACATCAGATCTCAGTGGGGAAAAATATGCTGCATACAGTGAATGAAATAAGTATTTGATCCCCTGCTGATTTTGAATGTTTGTCACTCACAAAGAAATGGATCCCTCTAACAGTCGAATGGTAGGTGTATTGTAACACTGAGATGCAGAATAGCAACAAAAAGTTCAAAAGAAATTCATGTCTAACAAATTATGCACAGATTTGCATGTTCATGAGGGAAATAAGTATTTGATCCCCTTCACAAAACATGACTTAGTACTTGGTGGCAAATCCCTTGTTGGTAATCACAGAGGTCAGACGTTCCCTGTAGGTGGCCACCAGGTTTGCACACATCTCAGGAGGGATTTTGGCCCACTCCTCTTGGCAGATCATTAAGGTTTGGTGGCTGATGTTTGGCTACTCAAACTTTCAGCTCCCTCCACAGATTTTCAATTGGATTAAGGTCTGGAGACTGTCTATGCCACTCCAGGACCTTAATGTACTTTATCTTGAGCCACTCGTTTGTTGCCTTGGCTGTGTGTTTTGGGTCATTGTCATGCTGGAACACCCATTCACGACCCATTTTCAATGCCCTGGCTGAGGGAAGAAGGTTCTCACCCAAGATTTGATGGTACATTGCCCCGTCTATAGTCCCTTTGCTGTTGTCCTGTCCTCCAGAAACACACCCCCAAAGCAGAATGTTTTCCACCACCAAGTTTGACAGTTGGGATGGAGTTCTTTGGGTCATAGGCAGCATTCCTCCTCCTCCAAACACGTTGAGTTGGTGCCAAAGAGCTGGGTTTTGGTATTATCTGACCACAACACTTTCAATTAGTCCTCATCTGCATTATTCAGATGTTCAGTGGCAAACTTCAGACGGGCTTGGACATGTGTTTTTTGAGCAGAGGGACCTTGCGGGCACTACAGGATTTCAATCCTTGTCAGCGTAGTGTGTTACCAATTGTTTTCTTGGTGACTGTGGTCACAGCTGCCTGGAGATCATTGAACAAGATCCTCATGTGTAGTCCTGGGATGATTCCTCACTGTTCTCATGATCGCTGACACTCCACGAGGTGAGATCTTGCATGGTGCACCAGACCTAGGGAGACTGACAGTTGTTTTGTGTTTCTTCCATTTGCGAATGATTGCACCAACTGTTGTCACCTTCTCACCAAACTGCTTAGCGATAGTTTTGTAGTCCAGCCTTGTGTAGGTCTTCAATCTTGTCCCTGACATCCTTGGACAGCTCTTTGGTCTTTGCCATGGTGGAGAGTTTGGAATCTGATTGTTTGATTGCTCCTGTGGATCAGTGCATAATTTGTTACACATGCATTTCTTTTAAATTTTTTGTTGCTATTATGTCTGTGTTACAATACATCTACCATTTGATTGTTAAACTGATCATTTCTTTGTGAGTGGGCAAACATTCAAAATGAACAGGTGATCAAATACTTATTTCCTTCACTGTATCTATACTGATATTGACTTGGTAATATGTTAAGAACGTAAGGATGCCCATCGTTTGATGGAAATAAAAATTATCAACCTACAGAGGACGGAATTCAAAGACACCCTGAAGATCAAAGTGAAAAAAACTTATGCAGCAGGCTAGTCCAATTTGCTAAAAGTTCATTGCAGCAACTCAAAATGGTACTCGGTAGTTTGTATGGCCCCCCACGTGCTTGTATGCATGCTTGACAATGTCGGGGTATGCTCCTAATGAGACAACGTATGGTGTCCTGAGGTATTTCCATCCCAGTTCTGGACCAGGGCATCACTGACCTCCTGGACAGTCTGAGGTGCAACCTGACCGACACATGATATCCTAGAGGTGTTCTATTGGATTTAGGTCAGGCGAGCGTGGGGGCCATTCAATGGTATCAATTCCTTCATCCCCCAGGAACTGCCTGCACACTCTCGCCACATGAGGCCAGGCATTGTCGAGCACCAGGAGGAACTCAGGATCCACTGCACCAGCGTAGGGTCTGACAAGGGGTCCATGGATTTCATCCTGATACCTAATGGCATCAGGGTGCCATTGTCTAGCCTGCAGAGGTATGTGCGTCCCTCCATGGATATGACCCACCACCAAAACGGTCATGCTGAACGATGTTACGGGCAGCATAACGTTCTCCACACCCTTTCACATCTGTCACGTGCTCGGGGTGAACCTGCTCTCATCTGTGAAAAGCACAGGGCGCCAGTGGTGGACCTGCCAATTCTGGTGTTCAATGGCAAATGCCAGTGGAGCTCTATGGTGCCAGGCAGTGAGCACAGGGCTCACTAGAGGATGTCGGGCCATCAGGCCACCCTCAGGAAGTCTCTGTTTCTGATTGTTTGGTCAGAGACATTCACACCAGTGGCCTGCTGGAGGTCATTTTGTAGGGCTCTGGCAGTGCTCATCCTGTTCCTCCTTGCGCAAAGAAGCAGATACTGTTTCTGCTGATGGGTTAATGACCTTCTATGGCCCTGTCCAGCTCTCGTAGAGTAACTGCCTGTCTCCTGCAATCTCCTCCATGCTCTTGAGAGTGTGCGGGGATACAAAGCAAACCTTCTGGCAATGGCACGTATTGATGAGCTATCCTGGAGGAGTTGGATACCTGTGCAACCTCTGTAGGTTCCAGGTATTGCCTCATGCTACCAGTAGTGACACTGACACTAGCCAAATGCAAAACTAGTGAAAAACAGTCAGAAAAGATGGGTAGAGAAAAAAATGCCAGTAGCCCTCACCTGTAAAACCATTCCTGTTTTGGGGGTCGTCTCGTTGCCCATCTAGTGCACCTGTTGTTAATTTCATTAACACCAAAGCAGCTAAAACCGATTAACAACCCCCTCTGCTACTTAACTGACCTGATCAATATCCCAGGAGTTTAATTGACATGATGCTATACGCTGATTAAAAAGTGTTCTTTCAATTTTTTTGAGCAGTGTATATTGTACTTGGAATACTCTAGTCTAAGTTTCTACAAAGAGATGACATCTTCATTATTCTTTTTGAGCCATCTTTAAAGTCGTCAGTATGTAAATAGCATAGTACCCAGCAACTGGGCATATCTGTGTAATTTCTTAGGGTCAGCCAATGCAAATATTGTTCACTCTATGTACCTAATTTTATTTTATTTTGTATGAAAACTTTTAATACAATTATGTGAACTGATATTGTGTATCTTATATACTTGATCAATGACAGTTGATCACTTTGCTACATACTTGGATCACTAGTTGTTCTACAAGGATTTTTACAATTAATATTTTGTTAACTGAACAAGAAGAGGGAAAAATGTTTCAAATTAAAACAACTAGAAAACATTTTTAGTATGAAGCAAATAAAAAAAGTACCATATTTTTATTAAGGTAAAAAAGCAAGTATTAACAATAATTGCCTTGCAAATTATGCCGGAAAAATTTTCTTGTTACACATAAGGATGTAATAGGAGCACCAGAACTCTGAGCTAAAGTAAAATGTCCTCTATTTTATGGGTTTTATGTTGCAATGTATTTAAAATTGTTTCTTAAACACTATTTGTCAGGGGGGATTTGTTTTTTTTTTTTGAATACATCTTTTCTTTAGACAGGGTGTCCACTGTGCATGCACTTTGTGATTGGGTCCCACAGACATCTGGGACTTTTGATGTGTCCCAGAAGGTTGTAGGGTGGAGGGAAAACTTCTGGAACTTCCTGATAAACATCCCCTTCCCCCTCCAAAAAGTGGCAAAAACAGAAAAAGTGGGGGTAGCAGTGCAAAAAGCAGAACTTCCCCTTTAGAGTGAAGTTCTGCTTTAAAGTAAAACTAACAGCAAAAGTTTTTTTTTTTTTCCTTTTTCTTTGGAAAGAGTGAGGGTGGGAGGGTAAACAAGACAGAGGGGTGACCTGCTTAAGAGGGGCACAGAAAAACAATATAAACCTGACTGGTGTTCTCTTTTAAAAGTATAATTAAAGGCAAATCTTTATTTTAGATAGAAGTATGGGGTTTCCTTCTTGGACCGAGTGATGTGCGCCCACTATCAGCTGAAAACAGGTCACAGGAGTGCAGAACGAACTGCACTCCTGTGATCCATAGAAGTACAGCCAAAAGCGCTTTGGCTGTGCTTCTCTGTTTAAAGATGCCCAGAGTTTATTTGAGCTTCACAAAACATATATTTTTTTTGATTTAAAAAATGGTTAACTGATCAGATCCTTAAAGTAAGGAGTTAAACCCAAAAGCACACTTTTATTATATTGCCGCTTGCAAAATCCAGTAATACACACTCTACACATGCCCAGTTGTTCTCTCTTTTTCGGCACTGTGCCAAAAATGTAGAGCCCAATCTGCTGCCAGCCTGCAGTTTTACTGCTGCTCAGGGGTTCTGGGCTTCAGCAAAGTGGCAGCCTCAAGCAAGAAGAAATGGGGAACAATGCTGAAAGCAGTTTACAGCACACACTTATTTTGGTAGCATAATTATTAATGTGGAATGAAGGTTCTTAGCTTGACAAAAAAAAAGTATGTTCTTTAGCAGTTATGGGTAAAGTTTTGCTTTAAATGTGTTGGCTGCATTAGTTTTTCTTTTTTAGGCTTTATTTTCACTTGAAGATCCAGCCAGTATGTCTGTTGTTTTTCAACAGAACTCGTTGTCCTGCAGAAGCAGCAGTTAGTGGGTTGAGACAAACCATTTACCACTGATGGGTGTTTACAATGATCGGCTTTTATTCATGTAACACCTTTTATCCCAAATGAAAAAAACTGTTGCTGTAACTGCAGCATGAGCTAGAGTTTGGCTTCACTTTGTTAGTGTGCATACCCCTCATGAATACGTGCTCGTGCACAAAATGCGTAGAGGAGGAGCCATACGCGCTGACGTCACTCTGCCGCC